TTTTTGGTAGCATCATTGGCGCCATCTGTGGGAACTGCTACCAAAAACCATGGTTAACACAATCAGGTCTTCCTCCAATAAGTTCATTAGTTCCCAATCCTCCCGACATTATGACTTGTTTAAATTCAGATTAATTTAAAAGGTTGTCGTTGAGCCATATTATATCAATCAAGACGTCAAGATTATTAATTGATACAAGTCGTCGACATTATCGATAAGATAAAAACACGCCAAGATCAAAAAACATTGATAGAGTAAAATTCATTCATGAAGCTCAAGCAAAACACTTTGAATTTACAAAAATAAATGTCAAATGTCAACATCTGTGCTCAGGGAAAAAAATAGATGCTCGAGAAAATTTAATCGTCGATATTCTGACTGGCTTGGTCCTCTTCGACATCATCACCCTCGATGTCGACCTCTCCATCTTCAACATTTTCCTCAGAGTTAGAGAGAGCGAGGTCATTAGCCACCTGAGGAATGGTCTTCAAGTCCTCATGCTTCGCGTCTGGCCTCGAGCGAATGAACGCTCGAGCCTCCTTCAGGGCATAGAAGTATGAGCCCATGGCATACTCTTCCTTAAGTTCACTGGAGAAGTTAGACTTCTTGAAGTCCTCGATCACTTTCATCCCGAGCATCAGTCAGTTTGCCCTCAAAATCTTTCTTGTACATGCTCGAGCTCGAGCTTGAATTCCTCAGCCTCGTCTTTGGCAACCCCGACATCATCTCAAGCTTTGCAAAGCTCATTCTTCATCTCTTCGTGCTCCTTCAGTTTTTGAGCTTGATCCGTTTCAAGGTTAGCAATTCTCTTATCCTCCACAGCCACATCACTCTCGAGGTCAGCCACTTTCTAGGACTCATCTTTCCCTCTCAACTAAGGCCTTGAGCAATGCTTAGTGTTGGGAAGAAAGGAAAGCGCAACTCAAACCTCGGGATAAAAAAATGTAAAATAAGAGATAAAGTCCTCTAGATGCAAAAGGACTGATGAGTTACCTTTAACGTCATAGCCTCGAGGGCCTTCATGCCTTTATCGGGACCAATGTCTCCCTGTTATTTGGCTACAATGCTCGGCATCCATTGACATCGGCCATGATCCTTAGTGTGAACAGAGCTTTGTGGAATTGCCTTGTTCTCGAGGTTAACAACTTCAATAGTTTCTCGAGGATGAGGAATTCCTTGAGGTATCCCCTAAGGAATTGACTATTCAGTAATAACTCTTCCCATTCCCAGGGACGAACCTCCTGGCCTTGACGATTCGCTAGTCCCACTCCTTTTGGCGCTCGAGTCTGGAATCTCGAGCTCTCTTTTGGCCCCTCTTATGTCCTGGTGCTTGACCTTGGGGAGCATTTGACTTTTTGTTTACGGCTTGTCATAAGGCAGTGGGGTCGAACGTCATCTCTGCAGAAAATAAAAACTAAGTCATTAGCACGAGCAATAAACAAAGGTCGGCTAACAAAAATCAAAGGAAAATATCCTACCCTCGACGCCTTTCACATGTACAAGGTCGAGGACGTGATCCCTGAGGATGTCATCTAGATCATATACAAAAGGCTCGAGATTTTCTAACATCTGCCTATCCCTTTCTAAGGACTCAAAATAAAATAGGCCTGATCCTCACAAAACCTAGCAGTGTCGAGCAACCCCAACCGAGGACTAAATGGAAGGTCAAGATCTCGAGGCACGACGTAGAACCATTTTTCTTTCCACCCTTTCAACGAGCTTAGCATCCTCGGGATCCTAAACCCTCCGCGGGTTGAAAGGTATGCGAAGCATGTGAATTAAGGGAGCTATTTTAGATTGAAGACCATCCTACATAGGTTGAGGAATGGGATAATCCCTAAGTATTTGCCTCGGGCTCATGTTATACTTGGTCAAAAGGGCGACGAAGAATCGATACATAGGCCATCTAAACCCCCTTCAAAGAATCTCTGAAAATTACAAACTCTCCATCCCGAGCTACTGCTATCCTATCTTTGTCCTTGGGTGACCTAATATCATAGTTCGGCATAAGGTCGTACTCCCTAGCCGTTACTACTACTAGATTCTCCTTAAACCTACAAGGTTGGTCGGGGCAATTAAATAACTTCGGGTTATCCTGGGTTCGAGGATGAGAACTAATGGGCACCGCCATAGGTATGATCGACCATCCTAACACCTCAAGTGTGTTCCCCGACCTAGAGGACAACGTATCACTCACTGCTCGACATCTAATCCTAAATTAAGACCTTTCTAAACAAACGACTTAAGTTCTCGAGCTTTTACCTGAAACCGACAACTTTGAAGGAATTTACTGAGAGTGAAATGGTAAAAAATGAATAGCAAGTGGGGTATATATAGGAGAAACGAGGGGAAGCCTAAGGGTCGCTGCCTGAGCCGTTCGATCAGGCCATGTGTCCCTCATCCAGGGCTCTAAACTTCCACCACCTTTCTTAACTAGGGCTGATGTCATTACCACATCTGATGTCAGCCCTCACAAATGCTTCTTTTGGAATATACCCTCGAGCATGAGATACCGAGGACTCCTGTCTTCAACCTCTGTGCACCTTATCCTCAAGCGAATGCTCAAGTACAGGTGCACGGGGGCCACTGATATAGTCAATATCATTATCTCGACCTTATCCATCCCGACGACTCTGAATGCTTAATTTACATGATTCTGCCACCACTATGCTCGAGTATAATATGTGCTCGAGCATAAGATGTATGACTAAGCTACATGCTCAAGGTTTGGCTCACATTAGTGACACCATCTAGAATATGTCCTCAAGCATATAAACCCTACTTCAGTAGATGCAAGCTCGAGCAAATCCCTTTTCTTAAGCCCTAAATGCGAGGGCTCATGTTCAAAGAAATACCTAATTGCTAAGGACCTTAATCTAACTCAAACACCTCAACCCACGTCTCCTATGCCCAAAAGGACTCTATTACTGTTAAACTATGATTGGTCTCCCAATTGTACCATAAATCAAACACCTCTCTCGTGTAGGACTTCTTGGGATAAGATTGCACAACCAACTTTTCGTATCAGGAGTGTGCTATTAAATCCTAGAAGGAGTACACCACTGGCCTCTATAAATACAAGGTTTTTGATCATTATTCAGGTACGTTTTACATATAGTTTCATTATACATTCTCTCATATCAATTCCCTGTCTAACTTAAGCATCGGAGAAGCGACGAGAACACACCTCGTTGCCTTTGTTTCACGTACCGAAAGATTCATACTCTTTCACAGTCCTCGAGTTCGGGAAATCAACATGTGCAAATTTTTGGTAGCATCAGGATTCAACTTCATTTTGTAGAATATCGAACTGGTGTTCTAAAAGTGCATTTAGACCTAGCGAATTTTTTATTTATCGCTATTCGTCTAGGCCGACTTAGACTCTCAAAAGCTTGAAATTTAAATAAATCGGTGAACTTGTGATTTTGTTTTATTTTAAACTCTATTAATGATTAAATGAATTTGTTTACATGTTAGCCTAAAAAAGTGATATTCAATGTTCATTATTTTTCCTTGGTTGCCTGCTTTCACGTCAACCTTGCCATGTTTTTGTTGACCTCGTTTTTTGTAGGGGTGACATGGAATTGGTATTTATAGAATTCTAGTCGAATTGATGACCGCTGGAAGAAGGAGCACGTGGCTCTATCTCCCAAGTTGAAGCATCATATCACTAGCCTGCTAATATATTGAAAACGGGTCAACCACCCTACAACCTAAGCTGACAGGCTTAACATATTGATTATTATAAACATCATATCAATCATTTCTATAAATTGCCTGCAAATCTTTTAGGAGCCAACAAGGGCTTCGGCCGACAAAAGGGGGCTTTAGAATGGAGAGCCTTGGAAGCTATCCTTTTGACTTCGACACTTCTTTTTCCCGCGGGGTTTTTGTATCTTTAGCTTGGTATTACTTTTTGGATGAGATTGTAATGCAAAATATGAGTAGGAACCTTCTTTTTAAGAGTGTTGGAATTATAAGAGCACCACTCCAACTAATTCTTGCTAGTTCTCTCCAGTCTAACATTTAGCACAGGTCTATCTGAGATCTTGCGATGGATAATGCTTATTATCACTACGATGTCCAATGGTGGAGACTGGAACTGCAAAGAATTAAATCAAGCAGCCGGAAAAAGGGCTTTTCAATTCAACAGCAATTGTGCACGTCCTCATCCACACATACGCCTCCTTCAATTCTCCATCTCCTATTTTTTCCCACTGTTGCACGCCTATTTATTTTTTCTTTCCCAGATATTAATTTCACAGAAATGAAGGATTTTTGGCCGCCATTAATCGCTCCCCTCTAGAAACTATTTATGCTGATGAAAGCATATGTTGAGGTTTGATTTAAGATGCTTCCATGAAGCTGTAGCTTTTGTGAAAAGTGGGGCTGGGAGAGTAGGGGGTGGGGATAATAATTAATACTGGTATAATTAGCAAAATTTTAATTCTTTAATGTTGAATTGTGCCGTTACTTGAATGCCTTTGACGAACGCGATCATCTAAATTTTATCTTTACTGATCGATAGTGATTTTAAGAATTAATTTTTTAATCGTTAGGAGTAAAGTGAGAGCCACATGTCAGAGAAGAAGTCAAAAATTAAGGCTGAAATAGTGAAATAACAGTCAAAAAATTAATTTTTGGAGATAAAAAATCACTTAGCTTGTTCGGCTGCATCTTTCCAATCGAAGGGAAAAGATATGTCTTCATCATAAACCATATGACACATAATTGATTCATTTGTAACCACATTCTCATACATTCTCCTAAAAATCACTATTGCAAAATCCATTTTTCCCCAAAAAAAAATGGGGCTCAATGAAATTCCATGCANATTCTCATACATTCTCCTAAAAATCACTATTGCAAAATCCATTTTTCCCCAAAAAAAAATGGGGCTCAATGAAATTCCATGCAAAGTGCTATACTGTGGTAGAGTTTTATGCTTAAGAACACATTGCAGTTGTATATATCACACACCACACCAAAAAGAAGCACGATGAATCAAAAGAAGAGCTTTCTCTCGGTATTCCATCATCCATTCTTGAAAAGCTTCCAAGTAAATTTGTTACTCAATTTGCAGTTTTACAAGGTCCATAAATAAGCAGAATCTATTCATCTACAACCAGATACAATAACTGTTACATCACATTGACCAAGAAGGGGGAGCACTGTTATTAGTTGATGCTATAGTCCCATCTAGTTAATTGGATAAAGAGTAAGATTCAATTATTGATTTCTCCGTCCATGATCTTTCATCAGAGAACAAAACTGCCAACCAACACAGAGGCGAGTGGAACTGTCAAATTGTCGTCAATCCCAGTACTTAAAGGATGGGATTCAACCAGTGCAGCGGCAACGGACACCATAAAAAATCCCAGAACCATCTCGGGACTTTCTTGAACATACCCAAACGAGGAGAAATAGTGCATGTATCTGTATCAACATTTCCTTAAGCAAAATTTTGAACTGAGTTTTGGTAGAAACAAGAGGCAAAACATATTACCCAATAGAAGCCAAGAAACCAGCAGTTGCCATAGCAATGCTACCAACAATTGATTTGTTTCTGTTATAGGGAAGTTTATGCTTTCCAAACCGCCTTCCCACAATATCAGCTATACCTGAGAATTTCCAAAGAAACTTTGAGACATATCCAAGAATAAGCAATCTCAGCTCTGTCAGATTGAAGAAAATGAAATGCAATAATTAAACAGAAAAACCTCAAATATTATTGATCATATAATGTCTGTGGATTTATCTGAAAAGTGCATTACCATCTCCAGCACAGAGGTTACAGATTGCTGCAATTGCTATAGGAGAAGTTCTCCAGTATATTGCACCGGCCAAAGTGATTGTGGAGGCATAATACAATGGTCCCTTAAGAAGTTCCCTGATGCAACACATAAGCAGCTCACAATATCAGCCATGTGATGTGTAAATGGTCGCCAATACAATTGGCTGTAACTTTACAATATTACAAGCCACAAGTTCAAATAAAACTAAATCTGCAAACAAGTCAAGCCGAATCAAGGGGAGAATTTAGTTGCAAGACAAATTTTCTTCACTAGTACCCCCTCAAGTTTGAAGTGCCCGTCATAATTTGAATTGGAAAAAATTGATTGAGAGTTTAATGAGAGTAATTTTAAAGAGAAGTGGGATCCAGGTAACTTCTTTTAAACTTCTATTTTTCCTTTATTTTTATTTTGGGAGGATATTAGTGTGTCTTCATAGCTTGTTACACATAGATGTGCAAGCCATTGAGCTTATCTTGGTTTTAAAATAGAGAGATTCTATTTTTTTTATTTTTTTTTCTAAAATGTCAGAATCTGTCAAGTTATATAGAGCTTTAATTTTATTTATTTATTTATTTTTTTCCACTTCCTCGGAATCTCCTCCTATAACTTCTTAAAGAGAGTACAAATAGGTGCAACTAACAGGCAATCCAATGTATTTTAACAACTACTCAAACCCAAATGGCGAATTAAAGAAAGCCGATCAAAAGATCATTTATTATTGGTAAAACATATTTGACCATGGGAAGTGAAGATATAAAGTGGAATCTACAGCAACATAACATGAATGAATGTAAATCGATTTTCTCTAGAACTGGCACAAGCCTGTGGTCTCCAAATCTGCTCATGGACTTGACAGTTGCATCATCTTTCCATATTCCGAGTCCCAAAAGAAGCATTTTGATTATGTTGACAGCAGGAACAAGAGCTGCTATAACAGCTCCCTGACGACCGGAGCTGAGACGATCACTAATAGCTCAATCAACAGTTCAAACATGGTCGAAAATGAAAGGCTAAAATCGAGTAAAATTACCTGAACATCGGCCAGCATAGCATGAAAGCTAATCCTACCGAAACATGTACAAGCTTCCTATTCAGTTTCTAAACAAAGACAATTTGTAGTATAAGACAGAATAGCAGGGATATGAGAAAAAGAAAAGTTGTATTCTAACTGCTGCTTGGGGGATTTTCAAAATTTCAGTTCTTAAATACAAAAAGGTAATTTTACATTTTTTTTTTTTCAGTAAAACATGCTCTTAACGTACTTAAAACATTTTAAGCTTATAGTCACACAGTTTTTCGATTGCTTCCTTTTACTGATTTTTCAATTTTTCATTTTCAGTTTTTAGTACCTTATCTCGGCATGAAAACCCAGGTATCTAAATCGGAGAAATTGATAGAAAAATAACCTGATCAAAGAGCCCTCTTTTAGCGGTTTCTTCCCACAATCTAAGCAAAGATAGAGCAATCCCACCAGACAAGGCGGTGGCAATGACGTCACTGACAACCGGATTTTCTGAAAACATGGCGACCGGTGACGTAAATTTCCGGCGGAGTTTTCTTCTGTGCTTTCCCTCAAGCTGCTGACCAAATTTATAACGGTGGAGAAAATCAGAGGATGAGGGAAGAGGGCTGGAATTAGAGAAGAACAAACGTGAATGACTGCAAAAATCAAAATTGGACTTTGATTTGACTGTTATGCAGAGGTAAAAAAATGTTGAAGCCATTGAGCAAAAACGTTTTTTCTGTTCCAAACCCCGGACTATCACGAGCTTACCCGTACATGTACTTGGGAGGAGACAGTACCCAATCGATGGGATTGGTGGTGTGGGAGACTTGAATGAAATCTTGTTGAAATACTGACGAAAATAAGCTTATTATTTGAATTTCGTAATTTACTCATTTTACTGTCTAAAAAGGTATCGATCGGCAGCGCTCTTGATGGAGATGGATCGACAAGATGCCGTACCCATTGAATGATTCTCCTCCTATTGAAAATCAACTTAGAAATTGGTAAATAAGGCAAGTATCAAGAACATGTTAAGCAAGTTTTGAAAAATAAAAAAAAAATAAAAAAAAATAAAAAAAGAGAAAAAGGAAAAAGGGCAACTACATTAAGGCCAACATGTTAAGCAAGTTTTGAAAAAAAAAAAAAAAGGGCGACTACATTAAGGCCCCGTTTGAACCACATTTGGGTATGTTTGAGCTCCATTATTTGGAATTATAAAAAGATGAATAGTGTTTTTTTTTTAAAAATGAGTGGTTGAAATTTTTTTTATTTACGTGTAATATTATTTTATTGAAGATTGTGTGATTAAAAGTAGGAGAGAGAAAATTTTAATTTAATACAATGAAAAATAATGGGGCTCAAATGGAGGCTTAATATAAGAATAATAATGAAAAATATAGTTGTTACGGATCCCATATAACAGAGATTTTCAAATATAGTGACTTGATATGATGAATAACAGTCATATTTTTCATTTTAATGAAATGTGGCGCAAACAGGGGTTAAATTTTTGAAATATTTATTATCGAAGCCAACATGACGAGATGTGATTCGCCCGATTCTTTTTATTTTTTCCATCTTCCAAAAAATGCATGCTAAGTGTTGTCCGTAAATATTTTGAATTAAAATTATCTATATTTATAACATGATTAAAGAGAAAATATATGCTCGTAGCTTTAAAACTAACTTAACCACTAAATAATTTACTTATTAAATTTGTTTTTTGGTCAAAGTAGTATTGAGTTTGAAAGGAAAACTTAAGAGATTTTCAATATTAATTTTAAAAGTATATCTTTACTTACATTTTACGCAAGTTTTCTAGTTTAACATGCAATATACAATTCTTCATTTTAGATAATTTTTTTCATAACTTAATAATTAGAATAATGATACTCAAACAAAGATTGCAAACAGATATTTGACACGTGTTGAGTTGTCAGCACCAGCATTAATAACTTTTTTTCATTGTCCAATAATGTTGCGTCACGTGTTTCCATGTTTTTTAATCATGTGATTAAGTTTATTTGTGTAGCACGATTGTAATAATTAATTATTTGCTTTCAATTTGCGAAGCTCTTAAGGTCCGTTTGATTGCAAAGGTAAAATTGAATTGAGTTGAAAGCAAAATCCAAGGAATTGAATTGCCTAGAAATTATTTTCCTGAAAATTGTAAATTATTGTATTTGATTGGTATAATTTTCTTCGTGAAAATGTTGAAATAAAAGTGTTTTTTGGTGCTTGTTTGGCTTTATTTTACATGAAAATTGTTAATTAGAAGGATGAAATTTACTGGTATTGGGGATGAAATTTATTTCCATTGCCAATAAAAAAATAAAAAATCAAGAAAATTATCTATCTTTTTGTATTCGTTTAGCTTTATTTTACATGAAAAATTAAAATTAAAGGGAAATATTTTTTTATAATAATTCTTAAAATTTGTTTCCATTGCCAACAATATATATTATAAGGATGAAATTTACTGGTATTGGGGATAAAATTTATTTCCATTGCCAATATGGTGAGAATTCGAATTCAAGAAAAAGATGGAAAATACTGACGTGGCGACCAAAGGTGGAAAACAAATTTCTTGAAAAATTTTGTCAATCAAATAAGCTAAAAGTGAAAATTGAAATTCTTTTTCCATTTTCCCTATAAAATAAATGACTATCAAACATGCCCTTAGAGAATTGTAAAACTTTGAATTTGCAGGGCTAAGAACTCTACCTATTCAAAGTTTGCTTCCATTTTATTTTTTTGAAAGTCATGTTGTTTTTTGAATTAAGCTTCTTGTACGCTCTTAGGGTATGACAAGTTTGACACTCCGTTAAGTGTCAAAATCAGAGCCATTAGTTGTTTAAAGTGCTATTAAAATTAATATATAAAAGATCGTCATCTCATAATGCTATCAATCTTATACGTATATCAAGATTGTTGTTCATTTTCCCCTCTATTCAGGGCGATTTCTTTCTAATCTATATTTTTAATTATTGAAGAAACCAAGAAATGATATTGCTTTGTTTTCTAATTGATTCGACTAGCATTTCTCCCAAAAAGAAAAAAAAATAAAAATTCAATTGCAAGTTGTCTTGAATCAAATTTCCTCTTCATCTTTATACGCTAGCTATCAGTGATAGAAAATCATTTGTTGTTGTTCACATCACACGAGCATCGTGGTGCTGCTGACGAGAAAGGAGCTTCAGGTCATCTCTCCAATGGATAATGCTACTAGTACAAAGTCGCTTGACAAAGGAGGCTTACAAAGTGACATGTACGGCTCATATTAAAAGACATTGGACGGCTGAGATGTTGGCAGAAATCTTTACCCATTTACAGACCCATTCAGAAATTCAAACGCCATTTACTACCCATTTAGAAATTGAAACCAGAATAGAAGAGAGGCGAAAATTCTCAAATTAGGGCGGCAAAAGCGAAGCGGGATTCCGATTGATTTTCACGTTGCTTGTTTCATCGACGAATTCGGCATTGAACGTGATTGCTCATCCCGTCCATCTTCTCCACCTCTGAAACCAGGTATGTTAGGGATTTTTGTTGTTTAATTTGAGCTGAAATTTTAGTCACCAGTTATATGTAGAGAATGTTAAACAATTGTTGGGCATGGAAATTTCAGAAATTTGGTTGGAATTTTGTTGAAAGTTTAAGCTGAAATTTTAATCACCGGTCAACAGTACCTATATCTTTCACGTCTAGGTCTCTCTTACAAAATATTCCAAAATTTATTTCCAGTAATGCATGATTGTTCTCTGTCATTACCCATTTGTGCATTACCAGGTGAGAATGGTTCTAAAAGGTGGAGGAAAGTTTATTTGTCTTACCTTAGCAGAATGTCACGTAGGAGTGCTGATTTTCCATAGTTTATTGTTGTAAAATTTTGTTTCGCAATAGTGGACCTAAGAGTTCGGATTGTCGATCCCATAAGGACTATTTTCTAACACTTAATTCAATTTTTCTTTAACTACTATTTGACTAAAACAAATTAAAATTTGTAAAATCTGAGTTTTAATCTAAATTCTAGAAAATAAATGGATGTTCACACAATTGATTGGAGAATCAAAGAATGAATGGATGTTAGGGCAAAATAACTTCACCAATTGATTACCTTTACATTTCAAATTAAAACTTAATTCTAATGTAGTGCTCGGTCGAATTCTCTATTGTATTCAATTTGCCCCTCTCGAATTCTCATTGAGCCTATTCAACTAATTAAATTTCATATCTCTATGCAAATTCAACTTAATTAAACGAGTTCTATGTCATAGGAATTCAATTATGACCGCGATAAATGGTATAGGTATCTCAACTCGTTATACCAATGTACTGAATTTTACTACATGGTCTAAATCCTAAACTCATATCTCTATTTGTAAAGAATTCACAAAAATCATCAAATTATTGATCAGATAATTTAATGCATTCAACTCATAGCAAAATCAACACATGAAAAAATTAAAAACTTTGAATCTTAATAAGAGAATGTAAAGGATCTCAATTGGTTACATTATTCCCCCTAACAATTAATTTAGCTACTCATAATGCAAGAAGAAAAATAGGAAATTGTCTTAAAATACATCACCGGATTTGTAATAAAGATGTAGAAGAAAAAGTAGATTTCTTACACCAAGATCTCCTTCCCCTTCCAATGAATGCTTCTAATCTTCAATTGCTTGGTGTTAATCTTCTTGAATTTATCTTTTGAATCTCCCTTTTTGTTGTCTTGCCTCCAATGTGTCAAGAACCCCTAAAAAGTATGAGTAATATGTATTTATAGGTGCCCCTCCGTTTTGTGTAGAAGTAGGGTTTTTAAGAATTTTAAAACGGCCCAAATAACGTGCCCTAGATACTCAGTCGTAACGCCTAAGCGCTACGAGACAGTGCCTGGGCGCTACGTCTTCACCACCTAGGCGCTGATGATAGCTCATGGGGGCTATGATTGCGACGCCTAGGTGCTGCCTCTCGGATTCAAATTTCATCTTTTTTTTTCAGTTTCGTAGCGCCTAGGCGCTATGAATGCAGCCCCTAAGCGCCGTCTTTCTGCCCCAATTCCGTAATTTTGGCCTCTTCGTCCACTTTAATACATTTTTTCGCATCGCCTCTCCTAATCTTCAAAACAACATTAACAAACACATCAAAAACGTTCTATACTCACAAGATCTAGCATTTAATCAAGCTAAACTTGTGCAAAATTCATGAGTGAAACAAACTCATCATTTATATATGATGAATACCTTTATATTTTACTGTTCTCTAATATATTCATAATTATAATTAACATCGTTTGCATAACGGCTAATGCAAAGAGTTAAGTTTTGTTTTCATTACATGAAATTCTTGCAGAACTATTTTTTTTGCTCGCAGTAATGTCCAGTTTGGAAAGGTATTCATTCTTGTAGGCCTTTTGTCTGGAAAAGACTGAGTTTAGGATCATGATTGCAAAAGAGAAATTTTGTTTCGATACGAATAATCACGTCTTTGGAAAATCAAAGACAATGAAATATTTGGAAGAATTCCTATTGTTGGTATGGGCGAAATAGGAAATATAACTCATCAAAGCTGCTCTTTCCCCTTTAAAACGTCATTTCAATCCGTTTTCAAAGGTACACTTGGTATATAATAATATGGTTTTCATGATGCAAATTAGTTATCAAAAATTCTTTTGACGATAAAAATGAAACTACTTATTTTCTTTTCCTTTGTAAATCTGGTTTTAACGCAAATAATTTGGAATGTCTGGTTTATAATATTTGTTCATTATGTATAACCATTATGTTGTTAAAAACTTAATCTGTTTGTATAGACTAGTGAATTAAATCTTGAATAGTTCTTCCCTTGATACTAAGTTGATTAATGACTAGTTGTGTGGAGCACTCAGATTACTAATAATCTAAGATTATCATCATAATCTTATTTGCAATTGTTTGATTATTTTCTTTTATGCTTCTGAGTACACTACTGGATGTTTGATTATTTTCTTTTACGAATGCAACGGAAAATGGTATATCGTTGAGAAGCTAACACACAATTTCCATTCTCTTTGCAGAATATGTAGCAACTCGAGTATCCGGAAGCAACTCATAATAGTTGTGATATGATGTGCTTCACCACTCACCAAAAGAGTAGATACCACTAAAAGTAGGCACAAACTATTCATGGAAATGAAGTCATGAACAAAAACTTGAGATCTTGGTTCTATTTTCACCCAATTGTTGGGTGAAATTTGAGTGGGCAAGCAGTGGAAAAAGTAGTAGCGTGAATGCCTTTTGTGAAGCTATGAAATTAGGTTGTGAGGCAAAGGATTATCAGTTCTTATGGAGGTTCCATAAGAGTAGAAATAGCCAGAGTAGACTATAGAAGTTCTCTAAATATATATACACGTGTAAATAAACTTGTGGAGGCAGCCTACTGTCTATCTCTGAAAAAACTATATGATCTACATGGTTTTCTTATGTATAAGAAATGGAATTAATGTATGTAAATATTAGCAAGTATAAAATTCTTGTTTTCTCCTTAAAACAGTGATAGATGTTCTAATATATATAGATTGCAAGTGCACACTGAATTCACGATCTAAACACTCACTAGAAGAGTGTCATGATGGTGTTGAAAGTTTTACCTCCATCATAATCCCAAATTTGAAACTAGTCTTTCTATTTATCAACAGTATGACATTTCTCGGTTTTTGCTAGTCTATGTTTGGACTAACTATAATCGAAACACATAAATTTTAATAAATTTGGATGTGTTTAAACTAAACATAACCATCACATTTAACAAACTCCAAACTCTTGTTATTATAATTAACCAAGCGTTCAATGTGCTAGTAAGACAAGGTACCTGAAGTAAGTCATCCATTTCAACCAAAATCTACCAATTCATTGCAGTACACTAAAATAACAAATTAAGATTTTGACCTTGCCGCTATTTAACATAACATAACTAGTTCAACATAACCCACTAATCATGCCATGTCCGTCCATTTTCCGTAGCTAACCGCCACGTTCACACTCACAAAAATCAAGAGCTCTTCTTCGTTATTTAGCCGCTAATAGTACTGGAGTTGAGCGATTGCCAGAGATGGGATGATGTCGGAAGCACAAAGAGACTGTTGGAGCTGAGCATTTGCCGAAAATTGTAGTTCTGCAAGAATCTCATATAATGAAAACAAAACTTAACTCTCTGCATTAGCTGTTATGCAAATGATGTTAATTATAATTATGAATACATTAGGGAACAGAAAAATATAAAAATATTCATCATATATAAACTATGAAAAATCACCACTCCTACATGATCTGCTAAGGTAAGACAAATAAACTTTCCCCCACCTTTTAGAACCCTTCTCACCTGTTAATGCACAAATGGGTGATGCTAGAGAACAATCATGCATTACTGGAAATAAATTTTGGAATATTTTGTAAGAGAGACCGAGACGTGAAAGATATAGGTACTGGTGACCGGTGATTAAAAATTACAGCTTAAACCTTCAACAAAATTCCAACCAAAATTCTGAAATTTCCATGCCCAGCAATGCTTAACATTCTATACGTATAATTGGTGACTAAAATTTCAGCTCTAATTAAACAACTAAATTCCAACCAAAAATTCATACCGTACCCGGTTTTGGAGATGAAGAAGATGGACTGGAGGAGCAATCACGTTCAATGTCGGAATCGTCGATGAAACAAGCAACGTGAAAATCAGTCGGAATCCCGCTTTGTTTTTTGCCGCCCTAATTTCAGAATTTTCGCCTCTCTTCTACTCCGGTTTCAATTTCTAAGTGGGTAGTAAATGGGGTTTGAATTTCTGAATGGGTCAGTCAATGGTTTAAGATTTCTACCAACATCTTAGCCGTCCAATGCCTTTTGATCTGAGCCGTACACGTCACTTTGTAAGTCTCCTTTGTCAAGCTACTTTGTACAAGTAGCATTATTGCTCTCGAATAGGATGGGTGCTGTTCATTTCTGTGAATTACTAGCTTTTTATCATTAAAAGCTTCCCTCAGGCTATCCTTTAATTGTCCAGTTGAGCAAATTTTCTTGCTTTTGAGTGTCAGTTTGTTAGGGTGCCCTCCCCCCCCCAAAAAAAGGTTGAACCCCAACCTTGGGGGCCCCCCCCCCCCCCCCCCCAAGCTCTCTTTTCCCAAAGTAAAGTTGACGGGACTCGAATCCTCATGAATGCATCCGGGTAACACTGCAATCCTCATGTTTCCATTTATTTGACTTGAATGCGACACCCCAACCTCTGCTGCCATCAGCTCTTACTGGAACTATTACTGGCCCAAATTTTTCTATTTATTTGTCTTGTTCAAGTACATCTTCAGGCTTCAGCTGGTTTGAAGAAGCTTCAAGTGAGTATAACTCAATATTTATAACAGCAACAAGAGACGGTGAATGGGACAATTGTACAGGATCATCTTTCAACGGGTCTGGTATGAGCTCCCAAGAATTCATAGATGGACGCTTGTACCATTTGTTCTTTACCAATTCATACCTCCAAACAATAAGACCATCAATCTCATTGCCTGAGACAATAAGATGTGTCCCTGCACAGAGCGACTCTTTATCTCCAGACGTAAAACAAGGATCTGATGGTAAACTTGGGAGCTTCCTTGGAGACTTAAATTCTTGATCGAACCGCTTTCCCCAGTAGCCAACATGAAACTAGAATATTCTTTAAATCCAATCTCCCTTCTAATCTCATAAAGATCGAACACCTCTCATTTACAAAACACAGCTTCCACACTACTCTGACCTTGGAAACCTAATGACCACAGATTTAAAGAAGTGTGTTAATTGGTTAAAGCACTAATGACCTGAAACCTTCAACTAATTATTGATTCATAGCAGTACATGCGAGCTTTTTTTAAGTAGACTAGACTCGGGGACCTAAACTGAGCTTCTTTGCATGCCCATTTGTCGTGGGAATTTTTCTACAAAATGGCCACCTAAGTCATCCTATTAAATATATTTTAGAC